TATATAATATGTCCTAGGAGTGTTACCTTTGGACTCCACGGTTTGATTAATAGTGTAGTACACAGCTACATAGTTGAATGAGAGATTAGTCAATGTATCCAATAATAAGGATTAATCTTTGAGTTAGGATTTAACAATTTTCCTACGGAAAATGAACGGTGTAGTTTAAGTCCTACGTTCAGGGAAAGCGTTGGCATTTAAAAAATTGGTATGAATATAAAAAAAAGGCAGTAAGAAGGAAAACAGGAAAATTGTATTGTTCATGACAGCAACGGATTTAGCCTGAATGAATTTCAAAGGTTTTTAAGTCATCAAAAGAAAAATATTAAAATCTTTACAAGGGGGGTGGTGTGGTTTTGAAATTATAACTCGGTCGTTTGATCTAAAATAGGTACTGTACTTAATTTTTTTACTAATTATTCTTTTTGTGTAAGGTCTTGGTTGAGTTGAAAAGTTAGTGTCACGAGCGGGATCGAACCCACGACCTCACGCCGCTGCTCTAACCACTTGAGCTACCGTGATTTCGATCCACACGGACACAATAAATTTAAATAATTAATATGATCAATTAGACCACTAAACATAAATGGATTATTTTTTTTTACGTTAGAGTTGAAAGAAAGCCTGGGTATGGTCATTTCAAAGGTTAGGTCCGGAATTTTTTTTTATAGGTTCGAAGCGTACCAATTGCGTATTTATCGAAATTAGCCATTGGCCCGAATGTCCACTGTGCGAGCTGGTTCCCTTTTATAACGTTCATCCGCCGCTGGAATTGTTCTTCCAGAACTTCGAGGCAATATGTTGGAAGGATTGAATTTTCCAGCCGACGTGACACGTTGCCATGCGATTTCCATCTCGTTTGAGTTAGATTACTATTTGCGAATTGGATCTTACAAACGATTGACAGTGATTGTTAGTTCCAAGCCAAGAAAAAACTTAAAAAAGCCTAGTGTTTTTATCTATTTTAAAATATCAAAACAGCAGAGTTAATAAACATACCCAAGTATGTGTATTCCTTTACAATTTCCGCTCGGGAAACTATTTCTCTTTTGATCTCAACCGTTTTTGAAAATCATAACCTTTGATTTATTCAAGATTGACAAGTTCCATTATTTACCATACCTCCCAAGGACTCTCTCTCTCTCTCTCTCTATATCTANATAACCCCTTCCTTTCACGCTAATAAATTACATTCATCCTAATATATTAACATAAACACCACACAAACACGACACAAACACTTCACACACAACACAAGCACAGCACAAACACACATAAACTATATACATTTGAAAGTCCCTTTAGCCCTGAGGTACTGGTACAGCGATTTGTGCCCGCTGCCGTGCCCCAAGACTACGCACACTTCTGATGATATTCCAAAATATTGCCTATAAACATCGAGCCTTCTACAATTGAAAAGATGCTCGACTTTTACTCTATCCTTGCATAATGGGCACCTATGTGGTTGCTTTCCTGCTAGCGAAGGAATTCTTGTATGACCTATGCGTAGTCTTGTCAATATGACCTTTTCCATTTTTGACCCATTTTTCCGTCCAAGGGACCGACGTTTTTCTTAATCTGCCACAGTTTGGCAGGATTATTTCTATTTTTCCGAGCCAAGCGGTTTTTCCATCCTTCTTTTATCGTATTTGAAATTAATAACTTGAGACCGCTGGGTGTACAGGTTGGGAAGCGTCGTGGCTGGGCTCTGGCTGCTTCTTTGGCCGCCCTTTATGGTTCTTCGTTCCCGGCTATCCCAAGGACTCTATTTCTTTGAAAATAGATGGGATAATCAGCCAGAAATAACACCTCCTGCATCAAACTTGTTTGCTATGGATAATTTGATCCCGAAGGGTTGTTACTCCGCGATGTGCTGACCTTCGGGGTCTACACCTCAGGAATGTTCACATATCTGGCTAAGCTATTGGGTCACTAATATCTCCCAAGATGCCCAAGAAATCCAAATGACCTACCATTTCAGCCCCAAAGCATGCAAAATAAAATCCAGCTTAAAACTCACTAAATTCTATAAAACAGTCGCACAAATAAATACATTCACACGCAGGTACATCACACTGATTAGTCGGTGAAGTTCTCGACATACAGTATTAATAATCTAATCTAAATTAGGATCGACGGGATGTTTTTATAAATATTCCGCCATCAAACATAAACACACACTGCTGGAAGTGCGATAGTAACGCCATCAGCCACACTTCTCACATTAAATACCCAAAATACATAAAATATCTATATTCGATAAAAAACCCCACTCCAAAAAGCAAAAAAGGGGACTCAGAAACTCGTTACTGTGCCGGGGAACCATTCCGATATTCGACGACATGCCTACACGCATTCTGTAAGGAGCCAAGGCATGGCCTATGCTGGCTTTGGCCCAGGACTTTGTTTGCCATTGTTTGATTTTATAGCATTTTTCAGTCAAATGAAACATTTTTTCAACCAAATGAAACTTTTTTCAATCAAATGAAACTTTTTTTCAATCAAATGAAACCTTTTTTCAGTCAAATGAGACCTTTTTTCAAGCAAATGAAACCTAAAACCCAATGATAATAATTATGTAGAGGAATAAATAAATGATATTATAGTACTAATAATAATTTTTATGAGGATTGAATATTAATATTACAATAATTTACGATTCAATAATTCAACAAATTCAATATAGGAAGATTATGAATAAAGGAAGATTATAAATATATAATGTTATATAATGTATATATTTATATATGTGTTGACACTGCAGTTAATGATCTCTGGAAGATCATTGTTGATGTTGGTAGAATCGCTTAACATCCTTCTCGCACTTGCTTTTATTTTTGAAAAGGCGTGTTCAGCTGGGTTCAGCATCGGTGAGTTATTAATAATAAATAATAAATTAATAATAATACATTTTACGTAATGAAAAGGTTACCAATGGGGTTTCTATTACTCCACTCCTACGAGATAACGAAATATTCTATAATGTCATTTATTTATTCCTGTAGATAATTATTCTCATTAGGTTTTAGGTTTCATTTGCTTGAAAAAAGGTTTCATTTGATTGAAAAATGGTTTCATTTGATTGAAAAAAAGTTTCATTTGATTGAAAAAAGTTTCATTTGATTGAAAAAAGTTTCATTAGATTGAAAAAAGTTTCATTTGATTGAAAAAAAGCTTCATTTGATTGAAAAAAAGTTTCATTTGGTTGAAAAAAGTTTTATTTGACTGAAAAAAGTTTCATTTGATTGAAAAAAGGTTTCATTTGATTGAAAAATGGTTTCATTTGACTGAAAAAAGGTTTCATTTGATTGAAAAATGGTTTCATTTGACTGAGAAAAGGTTTCATTAGATTGAAAAAAGTTTCATTTGATTGAAAAAAGGATTCATTTGGTTGAAAAAAGTTTCATTTGGTTGAAAAAAAGTTTCATTTGACTGAAAAATGCTATATATGGCTATATAAGATGATTTTAATGTTTAATGTAATAAAATAATCTAAAGTTAATCATTTTCCCTTTAGTGGAACTTTGATTTATAGCACAGATTTAATTAATATGTTATGATATTTTTTTCTTGTACTGTTTCTTGCTTGCTATATTTCTTATTATTTATTATTTTTTCTCTTCCTTTACTTCTAATTGCTTTTATTTGCCGTTCAGGTCCTTGTTTTTTAAAACTCTTATTTGTTGTACTTGCTGATTTTACCCTATTTCAACTTTTTGTTGTTTTTTCCTTCTTTCAAGTTTTTCTTTCAAGTTCTTCAGACCCTTATTTTTGTATTTTATTTTTTCTCTTTTTGTTTTTACATCAAATTATGTTTCTAAGGATTTAAAGTGAACTTTATAAAACAAACATAAATTATTCCAAGGATGATAAATTTTAATCATGTAAGAAGCCACAATGTGAGCAGGTTACCATTTTTACCTCGCGTTGTTTAAATTTTACATGTTCCTTGTTAATTAAAATCGATCAAACTGTGCGAGACTGCGTTTGCGTGATCTCTAATTGCACTACGAACAGTTTTTAATGTTATAATGTTATCCTGTATGATGACGACCCGGATGTTTTGTATGGTACAGATTAGTATAATCTATCTATAAACTGTGTTAATTGCCTTCAATTAAAATATTATGTTTTTTCATTAATCTGTATCAGATCAAAAACATATCCTGGCCGAGCTTTTCTGTTGTTGACTTAATTCTTTCATTATTGTTTTAGATTTTCTTTTTTCCATTCTTCTGCTACATTGCTTTTGTTGTTTTTATCTTTCAATTTTTCCGAGGCTTTCTTGATGGTTGTTGAATCTTTCTGTTTATACTGCTAATTATTTTTTTGGTATTTTTTGAAATTATTTTTTACATGTTTTTATTCATGGTCAACTCTTTGTTCTTTGTTCTTTTTATTCTTAGTTTCGTTTATTATGTTTGTTAATCTTTTTCTCGCATTTTTTCTTCTTCTTTCTTTGATATTTGTTTGCTTATTATTTCTCGTGTTTTATTAAATTTGTCTATAATGTTGTCCTTTTCCTCACTATTTTCTTTGTTAGACAGTTGAATTTAGTTTGTTTACATTTATGTTTTGTGCTCCAGGTTGAATTTTGTACCAATATTTTGGTTACTTGTTAAACTTTAATTAATATTACTTATAACGAAATGGTAATTTTAGTATTAATGCTATTAAATCCATTAGATTTCGTGGTCCGATTGACCAAATAACTTCTTTCAATTAATTAATGTTTATGTAAAGTATTGGTTGAGATAAAAAAAAGTTAGTGTCACGAGCGGGATTCGAACCCACGACCTTCGGCTTAATACGCCGCTGCTCCACCACTTGAGCTATCGTGATTCGACCCACTCGAACACCAACTTCCCACCTCACAATTCGAAAAGTGGGGTTGAACCGAGGGTCGTGGGTTCTAATCCCCTCGTGACATTGAATTTTTTATCTCAACGAATACCTTACGTAAAGATTAATGAATTAATTTTATAATTGAATGTTTTCAGCATGGAACGAAACAGCTTATCAAGGGCCGTACCCGCTCACGGCGACTGAGACTAGCATGATACTGCCGATGGTACTTCAGTACCTGACTCCGGACTTCGTTTCCTTCTTCGGCCTCGGAGCAGTCTCGGCGGCCGTCATGTCGTCCGCCGACTCCAGCGTTCTCTCCGCCAGTTCCATGTTCGCCAGGAACGTTTACAAACTCATATTCCGCCAAAGGGTGAGTTTAGATTTCTTCTTTGTAATTTAGTGCATCGACCCGTCGGAGTTTCCTGTTTTATAAGTTGGCCAGCCGGAAGTGTCCTATCGTGACGATCAAATTACAACTTGTTACTTGAAAGAGAAAAGCTCTCGAGCTTTTCCCCAACATTCCCTCGTAGGACAAATATTAAATCTATCCTGATTTTCCAGGCATCGGAGATGGAGATCATTTGGGTGATGAGAATATCTATATTCGTCGTCGGCATCCTGGCTACAATAATGGCTCTTACAATACCATCGATTTACGGCCTTTGGTGAGTATTTATAATCTTATTTTTAATAGAAAGACGACATAAACCAAACTTTTTTCCAGGTCGATGTGTTCCGATCTCGTCTACGTCATTTTATTTCCACAGCTGCTCATGGTCGTCCATTTTAAGGACAACTGCAATACTTACGGTTCCTTGGCTGCGTACATCATGGCCCTTTTGGTCAGGGTCTCTGGAGGAGAACCTTTGCTGGGACTTCCCGCTCTTATACATTTTCCAGGATGGGACGGCGAACGGCAGCTTTTCCCTTTCAGGACCATGGCCATGCTCATCTCGCTAATTACGCTTATCGGGGTCTCCTGGGGAACAAAGTAAGAACAAACATATTTTTCACGTAACCATATAAACAGGACCTTAATTACGAAACAAAAGCTTATAAACAACTACAAAAAGGTAAAAGACAATTATAAATCTTGGAGAGCAATGAAGGTAGCAAGAAACGATGATAAGTTTTATAAAAATATAAAAATGGTTTCAACTTGAAAAAACCTACCTAAGCCACAGAAATCCTGGCACTTTTATGCATTTTTTGTATGATTTAAAAAAAAAGTTGCCTACTTTTCAAACGAATGTATGAATTCATCTTTCAATTAATTAAGGTTTTTAGTTGAGATAAAAAGTATATATCTTCACTAAACCTCTCCGTGGGCATTTCAATTGTCGCCGAGAATCAAATAGATAACACGACATTTGAAAAAAGGAGGGAAAATTCAAAAGGTGGGGTTGAGATGGGAAGTTAGTGTCCGAATGGATCGAGGTCACGATGGCTCAAGTGGTAGAGCAGCGGCGTATCAAGCCGAAGGTCGTGGGTTCGAATCCCGCTCGTGACACTATCTTTTTCATTTCAACTAAAAACCTTAATTAATTGAAAAATGTATGAATGTTGATTCCAAATAATTATTGACCATTTAGAGGTGTAACAAATTGTAAGTTTAATCAGTTGGGAGGATCCCGTTCTCAAAGTTTGTTTCGTAAGATAACCGGGGGGGGGGAATAATTAGATTAAACTTCACCAAATAGTAGTTAAATCCAACCAAAGTTTTGTTCAATTGGACTGGGAGAAATCGACCTGACGGACTTCAGACTTATGTCGCTCATAATTTTTAGATTTAAACCAGATAGTTAGCAGAAGGTATTTAAAGTAATATCTAGTACCTATATAAACTTTGCTAGTTGGACCACTAGTAATTGAATTGTAGATCAATATAGGGAGCGAGTAGGCATGCCATACTATATCAATATTGTCCAGAACTGTATAAATTTGTTTTATATAATTAATGAATTTTTATTAAATTTTCGTGAGATTGAATGTACTTGTATGCATTTATTAGCGCGAATGAAGAGTAGATCAATATAAGAAGCGAGAAGACAAGCCACTACATATGAGAACTGCATAAATTTTTTTTTTGCATAGATTTGTGCTAAATGTTTCATGAGATTAAATATTTATTAGCGCGAATGCGTTGTGCTAGAATTTTAATTGTAAAATATTGGGTTCTTATCAAACTTCACTTATGAGGACGTGTGATCACTGATTCTAATGAAATTTTTTTGGGGTGATACTCGCTGTGCACTAATTGAAAGTTGGATCGATATAGGGCATGCTACTCCAATTGAGAACTTTAACAACTTGTTTTGTACAATTAATTAGTTTGGTTTTAATTAATCTTGAGGTTGAATGTATTTATTAGCGTGAATGTTTTCTGTGAGAGGGTCTGTAGTGGAATATTTTTATCAAACTTTACTTACAAGAGGCTATATAAGTGTTATCACCGATTTTAATAAAGGTTTTTTTGGTGATACTCGGTGTATCTATCATAATTGAAGAGTGGTTCAATATAGGGAGCATGTAGGCATGCTGCTTCATATGACATGTGTTGATAACTGTATAAAGTTGTTTTATATAATTCAATTTATGCAACTTCACTTATGAGGACATGTGATCACTTATTCTAATGAAACTTTTTTTGGGTGATACTCTTTGTGCACTAATTGAACGTTGGATCGATATAGGACATGCTACTTCATGCACGAACTGTTGAGAACTTTATAAATTTGTTTTATACGATTAATTAATTTGGTTTGAATTAATCTTGAGGTTGAATGTATTTATTAGCGTGAATGTTTTGTGTGAGAGGGTCTGTAGTACATTTTTATCAAACTTTACTTACAAGGGACTGTACAAGTGGTATCACCGATTTTAATGAAAGTGTTTTGGTGATACTCGGTGTATCTATCATAATTGAAGAGTGGTTCAATATAGGGAGCATGTAGGCATGCTGCTTCATATGAGATGTGTTGGTAAGTGTATAAAGTTGTTTTGTATAATTAATAGGTTTGTGATAAATGGGTCGTGAGGTTGAATGTATTTACTAGCGAGAATGCATAGTGTGAGTCTATGGTGAAACATTGAGTTATGTGATGTGTATTTAATACTCCATAGACTTACTGAGTGAAAAAAAATCTACTTATGTATGAGTGAGTGTGCTCAAATTAAATGACCTATAGTCCTGGATGGGCTGGGTGGATTAAATCTACTCCATGCTACTTTCTATGGTTGTTTTTATGCCAAAGTTAAAACTTTGATTATATTTTGTTTTCTACTTTCAGGCACGTATTTGAGGTTGGTTACTTGAGCCCTGGCTACGATTTGTTCAGATGCGTCGTCAACATCCCCGAGGACGTGGTTAGGGTCGGGGAACCTGCGGAGGGCGAGATGGCCGTGATGACCTCCGGCTCGATGGGTCCCCTGTACGGCACATCGACTGAAGCCACGCTTGTCGGCAAGGACGAGATGAACGGCAGGATAAACCCCGCCCTGGAGACGGACGACGACGATCCGGCCCTCGACCTCGGCGATATGAAAAAACGGGCCGGCAGCGTGTCGCAGCAGCCCAATTCTCAGACTCAACTCTAAGTTCCCCGTGCTCGACCCGAAAGGTAGTCAAAACACCGAATTGCATTTATAGATTAGGTTCACGCGCACGTGTTAGGCAGAATTAAAATAAAACAAAAAGGGTCTTGCGATTTTAGTCCTTGATAAAATTGTAAAACGATAAAGTTTGCTTAAAAACAGTCGACCTCCTGCGACATACAGTCTTTCTAATAATCCACGCTTATCAATACAATAAAGGCCTCTTATGTTAGTTTTTTGAAAAACTTGAAAAGTCATTCATTTTTTGGTAAGTTTTCACACAGTGTTAGGCCATAATAAACATTTTTAAACTAAACATAAACAAGTTTTACTAAAATAAATTACAACATTCCTACCAATAAACAAAAAAGTTAGAAAACTAACTTTTTAAAATTTTCTTTTTTTACAATTTTAACTTTTAAATTACAAATTAAATGTTTAATTTACATTTAATAAGACGTATTGCCCCCTCTGGTTTTAATGACTGCTTCCACATGTCTTGGCATACTTAAAAGGTTTTGGAGAAAATCTTGGGGTATATCGTCCCACTCCTCCAATACAACTGCCTTTTGCATTTCAAGGGTAGTAGGGGGTCAACCTTTCTTTTGAGATAATCCCAAACGTGCTCGATTGGGTTAAGGTCAGGAATTCTTGCTGGAAAATCTTGTGGGGTTGAGGTACTCAGAAACACATCTTGCCTTGTGAGGACGGGCATTATCATGCATGAGCAACGATTCAGATGAACGACATAAAAGGCACTACATGATCTTGAGGAATCATTTCTACATACAGCATTGGCACTAATTCGGTACGTGCCTCCCAAGATATGCCGCCCCAGAACATGATAGTGGCTCAGTTTCTAACGTGCAGCACTGACCGTTCTCCAGGCCTTGTCCAAACTCTTTCATGCCATCTGGACTGTTAAAGTCCACTCTCGTCTCATCAGTGAATAAATTTTTTCCCACAGTCCAAGATCGTTGTTCCCTTGTAAACTTCAATCTCTTTATGCGGTGTTCTGCGGTGAGAAGGGGACCTTTTACTGGCCTTCTTGAGCTGAGGTTTGACTCTCTCAGTCTTCTAATGACCGTTGACCCCGAGGTTGATTATGCTCAGGGAGATAGAGTGGCCTTCTCTATCTAGGGAGTACGCGGGAATCAGGCTGAAGTATTTCGGCCTGTTAGCCCTTTGCGTGAGGCATACGACCCGATGCACAATGCGGGCCCGACCATTCGGAGTGGACAAGCGGAGAGCGACATGCTGCGGCGGTAACACCATTCCGTCGTATGCGGAGGTGCGTCAGCTCTCATCTTGAGAATCAAAACGTCCGATAAGGCCGAATAGGCCAGGTGCGGACGCTAACGATCCTCTTGTCTTGTTGACGATGAGTTCTCGCGAACGGAATCCCTCGAACACCAGCGATCAAGTTTTTAACGGAAGTAGCTGTAGAATTACGCTTCCGAAGTGCTTGCGTTTTAATGAAGCGGTCATCTATGGGATGCCCTGACGTTGGTGGACTCAAATGACTCCTAGTCTCCCAGAACTTTTTTATGGTCCTTGAAACGGAATAATTTTCAATTAATTAAGGTTTTTAGTTGAGATAAAAAAGTCAGTGTCACGAGCGGGATTCGAACCCACGACCTTCGGCTAGATACGCCGCTGCTCTACCACTTGAGCTATCGTGACTTCGATCCACTCGGGCTCTAGTGGTCACGATAGCTCAAGTGGTAGAGCATCCCGCTTCGAATCCCGCTCGTGACACTGACTTTTTTATCTCAACTAAAAACCTTAATTAATTGAAAGATGTTAATTGATCAAGCGGACCACGAAAACTAGTGGAATTAAACGGAATAATAATGAATCCCAACGCAATAATTTGCCTTCTTCAGAGAGATCGATGATTCTGACAGAATCATGGCTTAAACGATTCATTGTGAATTAATAGTGAAAATTAGTTGTTCTAACTAGACTAAAGAGACAAAAGAGAGAAAAGACTTCAGGCAAACGAAAGATAAACATGGACTGAAAGGAATTTGTTATGAATAAACAAAAATTCCATTGTTTGTTGATAAACAAAATAACTGATGTGTCTAATTTCTATTGTCTCTCATTTAATAAATAATAATACTGTAAATATAAACAAAGTATGGAGTAAGGTCAAAACCAAGAAAATCTAGAAAATTAAGGGTGTTGCAATACATTTGACTGGGAGTTTATGTTGGTTGTTATTATTTGATGATTATGTATTCTGAGGACTGTCAAAATCCATAATTTTTTCTGTCAGCCCTTGGCGAAACATTTTAAACCAAAAAATTATTGGTTCAATTAAAAAAAAAGTTTTTGATGATTTTGTTAATTATTAATTAATCTATTGACTAATCGATCTAGATCTTTATGAGAAATTTTCGTTTTTCGTGATCAACTATTGTATTAATCAATCACTTTTATTAAAAAATTTTTTGATAGAAATTAACATTTTGAGGCAGGATTTGGTCAAAATTTTGTTTGAAAGGTTTTTTTTCACTGTCGTACGAAGTCGACTGAGCAAATTTTTATTGTTAAAAACATAATAAGTTACCAAAATGTTGTATGTCCAAGTAGAATGTCATGATGGAGGTAGAAGAAAGCAACACAGCGTTGATAAACAATAAGGATGTAGTGATCGAAGTTAATTCTAGAAGAGGATCAGGGATGTGGTCCAAAAAATGGGTAAAAAATCAATCAGTGTATATTGAACCATATCCCTGATCCCCGTCTAGAATTAATCGATCATTACCTCCTTATTGATAGTTAAACATTGTTAATAAAATTTTATTATTATTGAATCGCAGTTGGTCTTTCAAAGCCTATCAATTAAAAAAAAAAAACCAAGCTGTTATGTTTTTTAGCAAATGTTCAATAGTAGTCACAGTAAAAACATGTTTATTGCCAAGTGATTTGGAAAATTTTAATCAGATAGGAATGTATCGATAGGATTATTCGATATAACACTCTTCAGAGAGTTTAGATTATATTTGATGCAATATATCGTAACCGTACATATCATGATAGGCCTAAATCCGGATTATAAATATTAGGTGTTGTACTTACCTCTTAAAAAATTACTAAAAAAAATACTATTAATATTATATGTGTAACTTTGTGCTTCTTACATGTAAACAAGACGTGTTTGAATCAGTATTAAATATATTTAAATGTTTAAACACACAATTTATTGAGAAAAGATATTTTTTATTTATTACCGTCCGCTGTTAAATTGTTTTAATTATGTTGATTATGGGATGAAATTATTTTTTTCTTCTATTGTTATGAGCCCTCTAAAATAATGTAAAGTTCAGAATAATGTATATATAACGAATAATTATTAAAAATGTATAAAAAATTTAGTCTGTTGTTAAAAGCAATGGAGATAGTATATAGTTACCGCTGGTTCTTCAAAGAATTTATATGATTTTAAATCTATTATATAGAATATTTTATAAAACAAAAAATTATATATTTCTTGTAAAGGAAATCTAAAAATGACAATACCATACCTCAAAAAAGAAAAAAAAAATAGGAAAAAGATGTGGAGCTTTTATTTTAACGTATTTTCCTTGACTCCATTTCTGTGAGAAAATAAAAAACACGTTAGTTACCTTTTTGTATATAGTTTTAGCTGTATAAAAAAAAAGAGTGTAATCTAGACGAGAGTAGTGCTGCCATGGTACATAAACCACCTCTCTCTTTTGGTAAGGAGCCTGGTCGTTCGAGAACAATTTCTCCTCCTTACATGTGCCAACATCTTATGCTGTTAACAGAAAACATAATGCTGTACGCACCAAAACGTGTCATATCGACTGGAAATAGGCCGGAACGGCACAATAGTCGTCCAGAAGATGTAGAACGCACACATAACTCGCTAGAATTTGATATTATTTCGTACATGTTGTACATATTTTGTTATATATTGATTTGTTATTTAGAAGAGAGGTTTATCATTGAAAAAATATAATATTTTACTTTGTAAGAATAAAAATTTTTTGTTGATGCTTATAATTATTTTTTATTGAGGAAATTGTTCTTTATTAATTCAGTGTATAAATTAAGTTCACTAATTTTGTGGTCCACTTGTCCAATATATTACAATTAATTAAGGTTTTTAGTTGAGATGAAAAAGTCAATGGCACGAGCCATTTCATTTGTCGCCGAAAATCCAATCCGATTACACGACATTTGAAAAATGGCAAAAAGGAGGGAAAATTCGAGAGGTGGGGTTGAGATGGGAAGTTAGTGTCCGAGTGGATCGAGGTCACGATAGCTCAAGTGGTAGAGCAGCGGCGTATCAAGCCGAAGATCGTGGGTTCGAATCCCACTCGTGCCATTGACTTTTTTATCTCAACTAAAAACCTTAATTAATTGTATAAATTAAGAATACGTTAAAAAATTAAAATTGATAAAATGTTATGAATTGGAAAAAACAGTTAGGAATCTATGTTGAACCTTGATATCATTTATAGAAAAAAATAATAAATTAAAACCTTTTTTGAGCATTGTTGATAAAAAATATGTTTTATGAATGTTGTAGTCGTCCTTGTTGTGCTTGTTAAATAATATAAGGTTTTAAGACAAAGTGTATATTGTACGTTTATTTTAGTGCTGAATTTAAGTCCTTGATATAATCGATGTTTATAAATGGAGTTTTTGACCACAAAACAAAAATGACTAATGTAAACGCAAACATATCATTCTAAGTGTTACTTAAAACATAAGTTTCTAGTGTACATAAGTGTGTAATCTGAATATTAGCGGTATAAATATATATATTTAATGAAAAAAGACATAGGGTTTAGATTGAAGTAAAAAAATGGTGTTACAGATAAAATATGGCAATAAAAAAAATCTAATTGTACATGTGTCTCATTTAATCCATGTATACCCATAAAATAAAATATGGTTCATCTCTTTCATGCTTCAAACAGGAAAAAATAAGAAATGTCTACTGGATTTCACAGGGTCGATGTGAAAATAAAAACAGAAATGAAAGTACAAAACTTTATATTACATGTTTAATTGTTTAATCTTATACTCTAAATAAAGCTAGTTACAAAAATAATTTACAGTAAAAATATTCTTTAACTTACATAACTTTATAAATAAGTTTGACAAGTAATCCAATGGTAATCAAAAAAATCTATAAATTATTTTCCTTTAAAGTAGTATTTATAAATAAAAATGGCTTTCTAAACACAGTTCTTAAAAGGTTAATATCAGGTGGTTTAAGTGTTAGTACGAATATCCTCCGTTGGAGGCGTATGACTGTCCGGTTTGAGAAGATTGAGCCGGAAGGCCGAAACTGATTGAAGGGACTGCTGGAAATACTTGGTGAGTCTGCCCTGCGAAAGGGTTCCTCTGAGAGGTGCCTCTGCTGTAAGAACCGCCAGAAGAGCTTTGAGGGGCGCCGTAACTGGTTGATGGGGGTTGGGAAGGCGCGCCGTAGGATGAAGATGGTGCTTGTGATGGTGCTCCGTAGCTAGAAGAAGGAGCGTTAGAATGACTTCCAAAGCTTGAAGGACCTGCTGATGGTGCTCCGTAAGAGGAAGATGGCTGTCTTGTAGGCGCTCTGTAGCTGGAAGAAGGAACGTGTGAATTTCCAAGGCTGGAAATCGATCCTTGTGAAGGGGCTCCGTAGCTAGAAGACGGCGTCGGGGATGGAGCTCCATAACTTGAAGAAGGTCCTTGTGAAGGAGCTCCGTAGTTTGAAGATGGCACCTGAGAAGGGGCTCCAAAGCTAGATGACGGCCCTTGTGAAGGAGCACCATAGCTTGTAGAAGGTCCCTGCGATGGAGCTCCATAACTAGACGAAGGAGCCTGTGAAGGTGCTCCGTAGCTAGTCGAAGGCCCCTGTGAAGGAGCTCCATAGTTGGAAGATGGGCCTTGGGTAGGAGCTCCATAACTTGAAGATGGACCCTGTGTGGGGGAACTATAACTTGACGGGCCCTGTGTAGGAGCTCCATAACTTGAAGATGGACCCTGTGAAGGAGCTCTGTAGCTTGGTGCAGGCCCTTGTGAAGAACCTCCGTGGCTTGATGAACCACCTTGGGAAGGAGATCCATAGCTAGATGATGGAGCCTGTGAAGGAGCTCCATAGCTAGACGATGGAGCCTGTGAAGGAGCTCCGTAGCTAGACGTAGGCGCTTGTGAAGGAACTCTGTAACTTGAAGAAGGACCCAGGGAGGGAGCGCCATAGCTAGACGAAGGCGCTTGTGAAGGAGCTCCATAACTTGACGATGGACTTTGAGAAGGAGCGCCATAGTTTGAAGAAGGACCTTGGGAAGGAGCTCCATAGCTGGAAGAAGGACCTTGTGATGGAGCTCCATAGCTAGAGGAAGGAGCCTGTGACGGCGTACCAAAGCTAGAGGAAGGTCCTTGAGCAGGAGCTCCATAACTTGTAGATGGCCTTTGAGAAGGTGCTCCATAACTAGAAGACGGTGTTTGAGCTGGAGCGCCATAACTTGTTGATGGTCTTGATGAAGGTGGTCCATAGTTAGATGATGGTGTTTGTGATGGTGCTCCGTAATTGAAGGAAGGTTGAGATGGTGCACCGTAGCTAGATGATGGTTGCTGGGCTGGCGCACCATAAGAGGAAGAAGGCCTTGAAGAACTACTTAAAGAAGAACTTTGTCTAACAAAAGATGAATAACTAGATGAGGTTCCAGATGATGGAGCTCCATAACTCGACGAAGGCGCTGACGGTCTTGAAGGAGCACCATAGTTGGTTGACGGAGGAGCAGACGGTCTAGACGGGGCCCCATAATTAGAAGATGGTGTTTGAGAAGGGGCACCATAGCTCGAAGACGGAGCCTGAGGAGCGCCATAACTTGATGATGGAGAAAAGGGACGTGTTGGGGCTTGGGAAGGTGCACCATAGTTGACAGATGGTGCTTGTGATGGTGCTCCATAACTAGAAGAAGGAGCGTTAGAATGACCTCCAAAGCTTGAAGGACCTCCTGATGGTGCTCCGTAAGAGGAAGATGGCTGTCTTGTAGGCGCTCCATAGCTAGAAGAAGGAGCTTGTGAAGGGGCACCATACGTTGAAGATGGTGCTTTAGAAGGTGCTCCATAATTTGTCGACGGTTGTTGGGAAGGGGCACTATAACTTGTTGAAGGTCGAGATGGCGCGTTATAGCCAAAAGAAGGTTGAGAAACCGGAGCTCCATAACTATTAGAAACACCAGGTGATGGAGCTCCATAGCTATTCGAAGGTCTTTGTGATGGTGTTCCATAAGAAGTCGATGGGGCTTGGGGACTTCCGAAGCCTGATGAAGACTGTTGGCTTGGCGCTCCGTAATTTGTGGAAGGCCGTGATGGAGCCCCATAACTAGAAGAAGGTCCTTGTGAAGGAGCTCCATAGCTCGATGAAGGACTTTGGGAAGGAGCGCCATAGCTCGATGAGGGACCTTGGGAAGGTGCTCCATAATTTGAAGATGGTCGTTGAGCCGGCGCATTATAAGTTGTCCCAGTTTGAGATGGTGGTCCATAATTCGAAGATGGGGTCTGTGATGGTGCGCCATAATTACTTGAGGGTCTAGCTGGAGATGAATAACCAGATGATTGGGATGGAACTCCATATGATGTCGAAGGTCTAGAAGGTGCGCCGTAACCGGATGAAGGCCTTTGTGGTGCTCCATAATTAACCGAGGGCGTTTGTGCAGGTGCACCGTAGTTTGACGATGGCTGTTGAGGTGCGCCATAATTCGGCGAAGGGCGGTTTACTTGCGGAGCGCCATAACTACCAGATGGTGAAGGAGTAGGTCCAAAACTTTGCTGCGGCGGAGCACCGTAATTCGTCGAAGGGGACTGCGGAGCTCCGTAATTTCCCGAAGGCGCGGTAGGAACCGGAGCCGGTCTGTCTGGCACTCCGTAGCTCGTTGCTGGCGGGATCGCACCACCTCCACCGCCTCCTCCAGGCAATTGCAGTCCATTTGTCGGCCTGTTGTAGTTATAACCGTCAGCCAGTGGAGCTGGAACATAATCGCACATCAGTTTTGGAAAGTTGGTCGAGTTTAACGCAAGGTTTAACTCAAAGCAAAAAAACAATCAGGTCGGTCGGTCATATAATTGTCTGAAATGTAACTTTCACTCAATTGCCTTCATTCCCTTGCTGCTAGTTAAAGCCGTTTCCCACGAACAACGTCATTCCATTCTTAACAAAAATTAACGCATTAATCATGTTGTACTTTTATCTTCATTCTTACGGAACCCTATGGTAATTTCCTTTTTTACTTCACTCTGATTTTTCGGCATGTCATAATCTTTTTATGAACTCTGTGTCTGACTGCAGTCTAACAAGAGAGTTGCTATTCCGTAACAAAACTAAGAACAACTCAAGGTCACAGTAAAGGTGTTAAAAAGCATGAAAAGACAAAAAAAGACCCTGTACGTCCTGGGAGAGTAAAAGAGCAGATTATCCTTAAGAAAAAAAAAGACAACAAAAATGAAGATGTGTTTGGTAAAATTCTACTCGTTGAAAAATAACACGCGGTAAGCTTATATGATAAAGTAACTCGTCGAAAATTTATGCCAAGCATCTCAGTTTCAAAGCATGTACGGAACAACCCGTCGGTAAAATTTATTCGATGCACTATCTCAACGGTAACGTTAACAACTTGTTAGCCTGGATGAGCCACTTAATCAGTTAATAATTGACTTAGTAATTGTGGCCTTTTGTCAGCTTTTATACGAAGAAGAAGTCTTTATAAGTCCTTTTTACGCAATAATTTTTTTTCGTTTACGGTGATGTATTATTATCAAATTTAATTAAAAATGAATGCCACTTATTAGTTAATATGGAAAAATCACGTTAAAGATGTTGATTAATTTGATCATACTTTATGATCTGCCTCGATTTATTTACATAAATTTACACTCGTCCTTCACGAACTTTTAAAAAAGACTTGACTTCATTAAAATCTCGCAGACCCAACGAGGGTAGCAGATGGAAGCTTGACATTAATATAGCCAAAGTATTGTAAAGTTGAAATGAACCCTCGTCTGCGATACCCAATTGGTACTTGACGTTAAGCCCTCCTTTGACAGGACATTTACTTAATTTTACAATAAATTGGCCTTGCGCTTTCAAAAATGTATTATATTAGAAAACAGAAAATTCTCACAAATTTTACATATTAAATATAAATCAAGACTTTTTTGCTTTAATAAAATGAAAAATCAATAAGAGAAAAATTTACAATTAATAAACGGGTACATGAATTGAACGAGTGAAATAAAAAAAAAGAAAATTTACATTAATTAAATTCATTCTTTAATTTATTAATCACCATGGTAACACATTAACATCTCTTTATTGTTTCTTTCAACCTGAAGACCTGTATTAAAAAAATTAGACCTTTTTTGTACAAATAAATAAACTTGCATAACGTCTGGTTTACTCAATTAATTAATATTTATGAAAGGTATTGGTCGAGATAAAAAAAGTCAGTGTCACGAGCGGGATTCGAACCCACGATCTTTGGCTAGATACGCCGCTGCTCTACCACTTGAGCTATCGTGACTTCGATTTGTTCGGACAGCAACTTGCCATCTCAACCTCACCGCTCGAATTTTCCCTCCTTTTTGCCATTTTTCAGGTTGAGTTGGGAAGTTAGTGTCCGAGCGGATCTAAGTCACGATAGCTCAAATGGTAGAACAGCGGCGTATTTAGCCGAAGATCGTGGGTTCGAATCCCGCTCGTGACACTGACTTTTTTTATCTCGACCAATACCTTTCATAAATATTAATTAATTGAAAAATGTTAATTGGTCAATCGGACTACGAACTGTAATGGGTTTGGTTTACTGTTGGAATTATTTTTTAAGATAAGACTATTATAGAAAAATTTTCAACTAATAAACCGATACATGAATATATGAAAATAAAACAAAGGAAAGAAAATTTACATTAATTAAACTCATTCTTTAATTACTTAATCACCATGGTAACCAATAAATATCTCTTTATTGTTACTTTCAACCTGAAGACCTATATTTAAAAAAATTAGACCTTTTTTGTGCAAATACACAAACTTGTATAACGTGTGGTGTACTGTTGAAGTTATTTTTTTAAAGTGTAAATTATGCAAAAATAAGCATGGAGAGAGAAAAAATGGAAACGATCCCTTCGGGTCAGTTAAAGTGTTAAGTGGAAATTTACTTAATTTTGCAATAATATAAATTGACATTCCGCTCTCAAAATTGTATTTCACGAGAATGCAGACAATTTCACAGTTTGAGAGTCCTAAAAAATATTTATTAAACATAAATCGAGGCTTGTTTCTTGCTTTTTTGAAAAAAAAAAAACCAATAAAGGAAGATCAACAAATTTATGTAATTATTTAGAAAACAAACATTGAAATTATTATGCTATTATAGAAAATTTTTCAACTAATAAACCAAAACACGAATTGAATAAGTGAAATAAAAAAAAGGAACAAAAATGTACATTAATTAAACTCATTCTTTAATTAGTTAATCACCATAGTAACCAATTAATATCTCTTTTTTGTTACTTCCAACCTGAAGACCTATATTAAATAAAATTGACCTTTTTTGTGCAAATACACAAACTTGTATAACGTGTGTAATAAATAACTTTAAATAACTGTTGAAGTTATTTTTTTAAGGTGTAAATTATGCAAAATAAACACGGAGAGAAAAACATGGAAACGATCCCTTCGGGTCAGTTAAAGATTAACTGGAAATTTACTTAATTTTGCAATAATATAAATTGACATTCCGCTCTCAAAAATGTATTATTTGAAAAAACAGAAAATTTCACATTTCATAGTCGTGAAAAAAATTACATTAAATATAAATCAAGGCTTGTTTCTTGCTTTAATAAAATAAACAATCAGTAAAGGAAGATCAACAAATTTATATGTTTATCAGAAAACAATTGGAATTATTACTCTATGATAAAAAACATTACAATTCACAAAAGGGTAAATGATTTGAACGAGTGAAATAAAAAAAAGAAAATTTACATTGATTAAATATTTATTAAACATAAATCCAGGCTTGTTTTATGCTTTTTTGAAATAAAAAGCAATAAAGCTATTAGAGAAAATTTTTCAACTAATAAACCGATACATGAATTGAATGAGTAAAATAAAAAAAGGAAAGAAAATTTACATTAATTAAACTCATTCTTTAATTAGTTAATCACGATGGTAACAAATTAATATCTTTTTTTTGTTACTTTCAACTTGAAAAGTATATATTAAATTATTTATATTAAAAAAATGAGACCTTTGTTTGTGCAAATACAGAAACTTGTATAACGTGTGGTGTACCGTTGAAGTTTTTTTTAGGTGTAGGTAAATAAAAATAAGCATGGAGAGAAAAAGTGGAACCGATCCCTTCGGGTCAGTTAAACTGCGATTAACTGGAAATTTACTCAATTTTGCAATAATACAAATTGACATTCCGCTCTCAAAAATGTATTATTTGAAAAAACAGGAAATTTCACATTTTTAGCCGTAAATTTTTTTTATTAAACAGAAGTAGAGGCTTGTTTCTTGCTTTTTTTGAAATAAATAGCAATAACGGAAGATCAAGAAATTTATATAATTATCAAAGAACAAACATTGAAATTATTAGGCTGTTATAAAATTTTTTTCAACTAATAAACTTCATTATATTACATGAATTGAATGAGTGAAAGAAAAGAAAAGAAAATTTACATTAATTAAACTCATTCTTTAATTAATTAATCACCATGGTAACACATTAATATCTCTTTATTGTTTCTTTCAACCTGAAGTCCTATATTAAGAAAAAAATTAGTCTATTTTTTGTGTACACAAATACACTTTCATAACGTCTGGTTGAAATAATTTTGTAAGGCGTAAATTATGCAAAATAAGCATGGAGAGAAAAAAAATGGAAACGATCCCTTCGGGTCAGTTAAACTATGATTAACTGGAAATTTACGTAATTTAACAATAATATAAATTTACTTTCCGCTCTCAAAAATGTGTTTTATGAGAAAACAGAAAATTGACCAAAATTTCACATTTCATAGTCGTAAAAAATATATAATAAATATAAATCAAGACTTGTTTCTTGCTTTAATAAAATAAAAAATCAATAAAAGAATATCAACGAATTTATATATTTATCAAAAAACAAACATTAGAATTATTACGCGATTATAGAAAAATTTACAAATAATTAACCGATACATGAATTGAATGAGTGAAATAAAAAAAAAATTGAAAAGAAAATTTACACTAATTAAACTCACTGTTTCATTGCTTAATCCCCATGGTAACAAATTAATATCTCTTTATTGTTTCTTTCAATCTGAAGACCTACATTAAAACAAAAAAAAATTAGGCAATTTTTTTATGCAAATAAATCAACTTGTATAACGTTTACTGTTTACTGTCGAAGTTATTTTTTTAAGGTGTAAATTATGCAAAATAAGAATGGAGAGAGAAAAAAAGGAAACGATCCCTTCGGGTCAGTTAAACTGCGATTAACTGGAAATTTACGTAATTTAACAATAATATAAATTTACTTTCCGCTCTCAAAAATGCATTATTTGAAAAAAACAGAAAATTTCACATTTTTAGTCGTAAAAATGTTTTATTAAACACAAGTAGATGCTTGTTTCTTGCTTTTTTGAAATAAAAAGCAATAAAGAAAGATCAAGCAATTTATGTAATTATTAAAGAACAAACATTGGAATTGTTACTCTATTATAGAAAATTTTACAAATAATTAACCGATACATGAATTGAATGAGTGAAATAAAAAAAAAACGAAAAGAAAATTTACATTAATTAAACTCATTGTTTAATTAGTTAATCACCATGGTAACAAATTAACAGCTCTTTATTGTTTCTTTTAATCTGTAAGACATATTAAAAGAAAAGCTTTTTTTGCAAATAAATCAGCTTGTATAACGTGAGGTTTACTGTTGAAGTTATTTTTTTAAGGTATAAATCATAATTTGCATAAAAAATAAGCATGGAGAGAAAAAATGGAAACGATCCCTTCGGGTCAGTTAAACTGTGATTAACTGGAAATTTATTTAATTTTGCAATAATATAAATTGAAATCCCGCCCTCAAAACTGCATTGTATGAAAAAAAGAAGAAAATTCACCAAAATTTTACATTTCATAGTAGTAAAAAATATATAATANTATATATATATATATACGACTTGTTTCTTGCTTTAAGAAAATAAAAAACAATAAAGGAAGATCAATGCAGTAATATATTTATCAGAAAACAAACGCTATAATAGAAAAATTTACAACTAATAAACCGATACATAAATTGAATGAGTGAAATAAATAAGGAAAGAAAATTTACATTAATTAAACTCATTCTTTAATTAGTTAATCGCCATGGCAACAAATTAATATCTCTTTATTGCCTCTTTCAACCTGAAGACCTATATTAAAACAAAAAAATAGCCAATTTGTTTATGCAAATAAATCAACTTGTACAACGTGAGGTTTACTGTTGAATTTATTTTTAGAAGGTGTAAATTATGCAAAATAAGCATGGAGGGAGGATAATGGACACGATCCCCTTGGGTCAGTTAAGATGTGATTAAATTTGCAAAACATGGCTTACAAATTGGTATCCCCGAATGAAATACTTTTGCGGATTTTTGAACACTGCAACAAAACTAGAATTACTGCAGTAGGCCGGTTTTTGTATTAATCAACTTAACTTTCTATACGGGAAAGAAAATGAATACAACATTAAGTTAAATGTGGGAAATCTAATTGTTTGATAGTCGTTGAAATTACTTTCATTCGTTTTTGCCTTTTACAACTAACCCATTTTTTAACGGCTAAAGATTTTTTTTTCTTATTTTATGTTTTTTTTATAATAAAAATCGGTTTTAAGGTTGATTTTGTTGTTCTTTACGCTGATTCTACGTTTTTTGACAATCTGTTGTTACAGTTTAAGTAAGCATCTTGAGATTTAGCGTTTCCAGAATAATAGAACTCGGTTTTATTGGTGACCATTGATCATCATCAACTGACCCCAATCCTACAACTCGTGGTACACCGATGTTTTACACAAACGACCCTACGATAATCCATAGTTTGTAAGATAAAGTCTTTGTATGATATACCTCGTCGTAAATTTCAATATTTCAGTAGTAATAATTCATCTAGTGGTAAAAGGCTTGATTTGGTTCTATTTAAGTCTAGTTTTATAACAAAGCATTATTAATTTGCATTAACATTTAGTTTTATTAAATCTACGCATGCAACATGAAAGGCGTTGGAGATGCTACGTCACCATCAGCCCCTCCCCATTCACACCAATAAATACATTCACACCAACATACATATATCACACTCATTCTGTTTGGTAGATGGTACTCGATAGTCCTCCATCTACCTGTTCACTACAATAAACTACTCTAATTTGGGGTCGATGGGATCTTTAAAAGTTTTCCGCCGTAGACCCAAGTCGCACTCAACATGAGGGACTTGGAGACGCTACGTCACCATCAGTCCCTCCCCATTCACACCAACATACATTGATCACACTCATTCCGTTTGGTAGATGGAGTACTCGATAGTCCTCCATCTACCTGTTCACTACAATAAACTACTCTAATTTGGGGTCGATGGGTGCTTTAAAAGTTTTCCGCCGTAGACCCAAGTCGCACTCAACATGAGGGACATGGAGACGCTAGTCACCATCAGTCCCTCCCCATTCACTCCAACATACATTAATCACACTCTTTCCGTTTGGTAGATGGAGTACTCGATAGTCCTCCATCTACCTGTTCACTACAATAAAATAATCTAAATTGGGGTCAATGATATATTTTTATAAATTTTCCGCCGTCGGCCCAAGTCATACACACAACCTGAGAGGCGATGGAGAAGCTACTTCGCCATCAGCCCCTCCCCATTCACACCAATAAATACATTCACTCATACAAGACACAGAAACAGAAAACACACAACTTCTATATAAAAAAAATTCCCCAATTCCCTTAAAAAGCGGAATAGGGGACCCTGAAACTCGCTGCTGTCCGAGAACCCCCTTTAAATCTGGCGGCATGCTTACTCGCGCCCTATGGGGAGCCAAGGCTCGACACGTTTCGACTATGTGGGACACATCGATCAACCTTTCCCTGCATAATTAACACCTGCGGGGGGATTGGCGAACCAGCAAGTACCCATGTGTCAGCCGAGTATGACCTATTCTTAATCTGGTAAGAACTATTCTTTCTTTACGGCTCAGATCCTCGCGTGGGGGGTATCTGCATGTCGTGCACTTAACATGAAGAAGCATCTGGGATGACCCTGCCCACTGACCCTGCCATTTATCCCTTATCATCTTTTGTGCAGCTCGTTTAGCGTCAGAGGGCCTGATCGCGATGGTCGGTCGGGAGGGTGAGACGTTCCGGCTTTCGTAATTTGCATTAACATTTACTTTTATTTCAGTGATTTTATTGTTTTTTAAGTAGTTTATTTTATCTAGCTTAAGAAAAGGTTTTAGATATATATAATTTTAAACAATATTTCTGTATATAACGTCTATTTTGGTTTAATTTAGTTTTTGAAAATCGTCCTGACAGTTTTTACTCTCGGTAATGTTAAACTGCGTGTTTTTACCATTGTTCCATTCTTCAATTGCATAATTGTTAGTCGCGACATGCTCTGAAAGCATTGCCTTGTAACGTCACTTGGTGAAAAGGATGCAGCTTTATCGAGACAAGTGAGCTTTTCCGAGAAAGCTAAGGGATTTTTCCGACAGACGAACCAACTTATCGCTGTACAAACCGAAGACTTTAAAAGTACACAATTAAATTGATTTAAAAAAGAAATCTCGGATGTGTTTTGTGTTCAGTTGAAAGGGAAAATAATTGGCGTCGGGCGTGGAGTGTTTTTTAAAGGCAGCGAAGCATCATCTTGTTAATACTTTACGTAAAGGACTTACCGTCTCGTTTCGTCTTGTTGACAGATTCAGCGAGAACGCTCGTGCATAGTAGTAAAATAAAACCAAACTGAAAAAAAAGAAAAAAGTGATTTAACAAAACAATTTGTACAAAATATGTTAATCATCAATGTAAGTTACACAAACAAGAAATAAAAAAATATGATTGTCATCCCATTTAAGCATATTTCAAAATTGTACACGATTGTTGATTATAAATTTTGAAAAAATGTCAAAAGAGTAAAGTTTTAATTTCAGTTTCTGGCCATATCAAAAATAGACATGGACAACTGAAGTCATGCATGTTTTGAATTCTATATTTTTCATATTTCAATTAATTATTTTTTTTATGTAAGAACTTGGTTTATATGAAAAAGTTGGTCACGAGCGGGATTTGAACCCACGACCTTCGGCTTAAGACGCCGCTGCTCTAACCACTTGAGCTTTCGTGAATTCGATCCACTCGGACACCAACTTCCCATCTCAACCGATCTTCCGAATTTTCCCTCTTTTTGCAATTTTTCAAACAAGGATAGTTGGACCAGTGATTCTGAAGCTTTTTTAGAAAATGCACTTTAAAAACAGTTAATAAACTTAACCTTGAACCTTTAATCGGGAGTTAGTATACAAGTGGATCGAAGTCACGATAGCTCAAGTAGTTAGAGCAGCGGCGGAGCGTATTAAACTATCATAATTGATCTATTTGATCATATAAATTATGATGGATGAAAAATTAGTGTCACGAACGGGATTCGAACCCACGACCTTCGGCTCAATACGCCGCTGCTCTAACCACTTGAGCTAGCGGAGCTGAAGGTCGTGGGTTCGAATCCCGCTCATGCCACTAACATTTTCATCTCAACCAAGACTTTACAGAAAAAGAATAATTAATTGAACTAAGTAATTTTGTAAATTAGACCACTAAACATAAATGAATTAATTTTTCATATTGTTAGTAAAAGACATTTTTGTGCTTACATTGGTCAAAATCATTAAAACTATGAAAGTTACATTTAAGGCGGAATTAGATGTGTGTCCACATGATACTCTCGCGTTTTAGATAAATATATACGATAGAGAGCATAAAATTATTTATCTGCTCTCTTTAATTTCCCACTAGGTTTCCTCAAACAAGTTTTACTTAATTAACTATTTTTAAATGTTTTTAAAATGCGTTTTCTGCCAAAGCTTCATCACTCGTTTTTTTTCTGAATGTTCGATCTTTTCTGGCCATCTTGGTCAATAAATTTTTATAATAAATAAATAAATTGAATTTTGCACAAAGGCTTCAGAATCACTTGTCAGAAGTTAAACCTCTTCTAATCATCCTGTTCCATCGATTCTTGCTGTATGTCAGTTATCACGCTTTGGCTGTCGGTGGATGTCCTTGTATTTACTTCCAAATGGTCATTTAACTGTTTTTAAATTGAATTTTGCACAAAGGCTTCAGAATCACTTGTCAGATGTTAAAACTCTTCTGATCATCCTGGTCCATCGATTCTTGCTGTATATCAGTTATCACGCTTTGGCTGTCGGTGGATGTCCTTGTATTTACTTCAAACTGGTCATTTAACTGTTTTTAAATTGAATTTTGCACAAAAGCTTCTGAATCACTTGTCACATGTTAAAACTCCTCTGATCATCCTGGTCCATCGATTCTTGCTGTATGTCAGTTATCACGCTTTGGCTGTCGGTGGATGTCCTTGTATTTACTTCAAACTGGTCATTTAACTGTTTTTAAATTGAATTTTGCACAAAACCTTCAGAATCACTTGGTTTTCATGAAGTTTAGTCGTTGGTGGTCATCCTCGCTTTACATCTCCTAATTCTCGTGTAGGGTGTTGGTGGATGTCCGAATATTTTACTCAAACTGTTTTTAAAGTGCTGTTGTAAAAAAAAGTCTCACTTGTTTTTTTCCGAAGTTTGATCTCTTCTGATCATCCTGGTTCACCGATTCGTGCTGTACGTCAGTTATCAATTAGCTGTAATATTTTCCACAAACGATATTTTGAACCAATTTATTGTTTCAAGGTGCATTTTCTAAATAAGCCTCAGATCAGCTTGGGTTTAAGATTTTTCCTGTATATAACTTACATAATAAGCCGTTAGGGTGTCGCTGGATGTCCGCATATTTTCCTCAGACAAATTTTATATCAGTTAACTCTTTCATTTGTTACGTTATGATTGCTTTTTAGTAATATAAGCGTGTCTATTTTTTCTCGCATATTCTTGGTGATCCTATACGAGTAATGTTTATATAATTTGTCCTTCTGTTTTTCAAGTGCATTCTTAAAACAAAGAATCACTCGTTTATCAGCAGTTTGACCTCTTACTGTTTTTGTCTGCCTATTCTCTCTGTGTTCATTTGTAAGAGGCATTTTTATTACAATAATTAAAATTAATTACAATAATGTGTACGAATTTTTCACCTTGAAGTGTAAAATTTTAATTAATTTAACTATAAAATGATAATTTTTTATACAAGAAGCTGGAGATAAAATCATGATACCAATTTACAATTTTTTTATTACATCAAATTCGTTTATCGTACGCCTTTGTATTATAATAATTAAAATTAACTAGAAATCTTCTATCTTAAAGTGTCAAATTTTTATTAATTTAAGAATAAAAATGATAATTATTTTTCATAAAAAAAACTAAACTATGGAAAGACCATCCGATACTCATGGCTCCGAGAGACGACATGAACAGAATGTTGGAATTTAATCATAACTTCTAAATAAATCTAGGTGCCAAAAAAGAATGGGAACGAGAGGGAAACACCTCTTTTAAGAATGGCACCATCCTTTGGTACAATGGAGGAGAATTGTCGGTGAAACATAGGGTATCAAACCATGGGTAGCCAAATGGCTATATACTGCAAACATTCTACCTAAATTATTTTTCGCAGCTTTAGTATGGTGGAAAGGCCTAGAAAATAAAGGGAACAGAAAGAAATTATGGTCATTGCAAAGACTAGATTGTTTGATGATGACAGGAGCATTTTCAACTACACCCACCACTTGAAATCATAACCAATACCACACCTTTTCACAGTGAGGTTAAGGTCAGAGTACAAATCAGCTGCTACAGGTTAATTAACGAGGGCAGCTGGAATCATAAGTAGATGATGGGGTTTGGTCTGCGAGTTGGCGAACTCATGTTGAACTGGCACACGGGCATTAGTGGGCCTGTCTTGACTTGCGGGTTTTTTTGTTTGAGTTATTCAAACGCGTTTCGGCATTGCGCCATCTTCAGTGAAAAACTGTCTGTCATGTAGTCTGAGTAAGGCTTATATAGTATTGCGTCCGTCCGCGCAAGTTGTGTCGCGTATTCTTTGTCGCAGTTTTTGTGTAGAGTGCTTGTTAGTATATCCATGGTCTCTTTGATTGAAATAGATGGGTACAGGTTTGTTATGTCAAAGGAGGACAAATTTTCAGCACTGCGACACATGATACACAGACTAAAAACAATCCTACTCAACACCGAAAACTACAACACAGAACTGCAAACAATAACAAACATTGCAACAAAAAACGGTTACAAAACAAACACCATACAGAAACTTCTAAAAAACAAAACAAAACAACGAAACACAAATCAACAACAAATGGACAACATTCACATACACAGGAAAAGAAACCTACAAACTAACAAATCTGTTCAACAAACTCGGACTGAAAACAGCACTAAGGACCAACAATAACACAGGTAAACTACTAAAAAGAAACATAGACACAACTAACCCGCTTGACAACAACGGTGTTTATAGCATCACATGTCAATGCGGATACACTTACATCGGACAGACTGGAAGGAAACTAAGAGATCGATTCAAAGAACATCTTAGATCCTTCAGAGACAATGACGGAAAATCAAATTACGCCACACACTTAATACACTACAACCACGAACCAAACACAATAGAAACAAGCATGACATTAATACACAACGCACAAAAAGGACGAAAACTAAACATACTGGAGAACCTCGAGATATACAAACAAATAACACTTAAAGACGGAAAACTTATAAACGCACAAACAAACTCACAATCACACACCACCTTCACACCACTAAAAACACTTCATAACAAAAAACGAAAACGTTCAGAAGAACAAAACATCGCACCCAACACCAGGAAAAAACGAAAAACCAACAACGCACAAATAATACTTGACAATGGAAAAAACCGCCACCAAGACCGACCAACGAGCACGAAAACCACGCCCCCTAACGCAACGCCCCCAGCGACAAGAGACGGACGCAATACTATATAAACCCTACTCAGACTACATGACAAACAGTTTTTCACTGAAGATGGCGTAATGCCGAAACGCGTTTGAATAACTCAAACAAAAAAACCCGCAAGTCAAGACGGACCCAGTAGTGCCCGTGTGCCAGTTCAACATGGAATCATAAGTGCAATAACATAAGTTACTCGAAAGTCTCTCTTAGTAATAACACCTCCGTTTTTCCGGCGGAAATCTGGGCCATTAAAGTGTGTTGTAGAACACGTATGGAAAATAAAATTAAGAGAAAGGATATTAGAATTTTTTCTGACAGTCAGGTTAGTCTTAGGTCATCACAAAAAGATTTGTGAACCTCAAGACTGGTGGAGGGAACATCTTATCAATAGGCTCTCTTCCAGATTTGAGAACAAGATAACCCTTATTTGGTTACCAGCACATAAAGGACACTATGGTCGAACTACAACCGGTATTACCTCACTCTATGAGCACAGCGAAAGAGAGTATTAATAACTGGGGCATGAAACAATTCCTTACGGAGTGGAATCTATCCCCGGGACACAGGCAATCGAAAAAGTTGGTTATGGTGATCAAACCAGCAGAATCAAAATGGCTATCAGGGAAGAGAATTAGGAGGTTATCCTGACGGGCCACAGCACACTGAGAAGACACCTTCCGTAATTGTATTTTACCAGATCCGTTTTTGTGAAATAAAATAAAAACGGCAAGGGACTACCTCAAAAAGTGTGATAGGTATGCTAGGTCCAGATTTGAAATCTTTGAAGGTGAGGACATCACCAAATCACTCCCCGAGATAAAA